AAGAGGATTTCTATTTTGTTATAAGCCTTGTAATAGTATTTGACTTTTTAAGTTCCTTATTGCTTTTTTAAGTTAAATTTTTATTCTTAATAAGTGTACAGTTCAATTGATAAGATAAATGTTTGCTTAGATGTTAACTAGTCCAGTGCCATTAACATGCTAATAGTGTAGTTTTCTGTTTATATTTGTGTCATTTTAAAATTTATTTTATTATTTTATTTTTTTGAGACAGAGCCTCAAGCTGTCGCCCTGGGTGGAGTGCTGTGGCATCACAGCTCACAGCAACCTCCAACTCCTGGGCTTAAGTGATTCTCCTGCCTCTGCCTCCCAAGTAGCTGGGACCACAGGTGCCTGCCACAATACTCGACTATTTTTTGGTTGTAGTTGTCATTGTTGTTTGGTAGGCCCAGGCTGGATTCAAACCCGCCAGCTCTGGTGTATGTGGCTGGCACCTTAGCTGCTTGAGCTACAGGTGCCAATCCTGTGTCATTTTTTAAATTAGTTTTGGTTTCTGAGTACTTGCATTATTAATATTTGGCTTCCTTGGCTATGATGAAAAAAAATCTACTCTTAGAAACATGAGTCAGTCCTGTGTTAGTCTCAATATAGAACTTAATTTAGTTATTATCTATAAATAGTTTCAAATCACCTCCACTACCAGAAAGTTATAAAAGGGCCATAATAGTCCCAGCATGTAACTGAGCAGTTGGAGCAATGAAAGTGTATAGTCCTCCAGCTCTCTCTCAGAGGCAGCATGGACCCAGAGTCGACCGCCTTCTGTTGTAAGTATTGGCTCTTGTTTCAGGAGCTTCGTAATATTAAAACTTGATCATCTTGTTAAATTTTCTTCATTCTTCATTTGTTTACGATTGGAATAGTGAAGTGTTAATGTTACACAATCAAAGCAGTATCTATGTAGTTTTATTTTCTGACAAATGTCAGAACAGCAGTGTTAGTGTTACCAATTGAGAACATTTTTCCTAGTATGATCTACTTCCGTGTCAAAATTGAAACCATTTTCTTTATTTGTCTAATGCTATTCATTGTATTTAAGGCTGGATGAAATATATCTTGAAATTTTGTTATTTACATTTTACTTGCTTCAAAAAATAAGTCATGAATAAACTAAAAATCTGAATATATGTAAGTTATTAATTTTGTTGTAGGGCAGTACTCCACATACCTATTTACATTTAGGGCTAAGCTTTTTTTGGAGAAAAATAGGTATTTTGGTGGTAGAAGCAACTATGTCTCAGTGTTTTACTTTGGTGGCTATAATGTCAGTCATTTGAGCTATAATTGTTTCTGAAAAAAGTTATATTCTTTTCTCAGAAACTTTCAAATGATTGCAGCATGCATATCCTGACTTTTTAAAGAATTAATCTTGTCAGATTTTTTTGAGAACATCTTCGGACTACAGAGTACATATTAATGACTGAAGAGAAGTAGGAAGAGAAGCCAGGTACACTTTTCATGTGTGAGTTGGCAGTGATAATTCTGAGAAAAGTGTAATATATAAATTTGGAAACTCCTTGTCAAAAGATATACTACATGTCTTATTTTGGAGGTCAAAACATGAAAATTGGGTTTATAAACCATCTAATTTAGGTATGAATTATTCATAGCACTAAAGATTTATAAGCCAGAAGTTTTCTGCTTGATACACTATTTTGGGAAATCTGTTTAGATTGACATCTTTTCAGTGAACAGGGTAAAAATTAGCTAGAGATGTTTAACACATTTCCTTTCTTACCTTCAAAACAAGAAAATGCAGTCAGAGAGTCTCCTGCAGCTAAATGAATTGTTTCTATGAATCATGTATCAATGAAATTGGAAAGACTCCTTGGCACTTGTGCTCCTCTCCTGCATCACTAGGTACTCCATAATCTTTCATTCATGAGCACCTTAGAATCTTAAAGCATGTGGAACGTTCCTTTTAAATCACTACAGCCCAGTTCCAAATGTCGTTGTTCATTTACCCTTTCAGATTCATTTTCCCCATGCCTGACCTTCTGCCTGTGAAGCTTGCTTTTTTTATATGCACTGAGAGCATTGTGCTTCTAGGAGAAACAGCTATTACTTGCTGGAACAATAACAAGAACTTGAATGAGAAATGAAATACAGTCATAGAATACCTTGTGGCTCTACTGTCAACAATATTTGCATTATCATGTTAATAACGTAAACTCTGAGTATTGATTATTCAATATCTTAACTGCTTGTAATAATCAGTATTTTTGTGGTGAGGGATTAGAAAATAGATATCTAAAGTTAATGTACATAAGTAAGAAACAGCTAAAGGAGTATGAAACAGGTGGGAGAGTTGGGGCAGTGAACTGCTGGTTTTAATTGTAAGGCTTTAAAAACTATGTACTTGTATTACTTTCATAAAAACAGAAGTGACACACAGATATGAAAAGGAACTATAAACTTGGATCTTTTCATCACAGATTTCTTGGTACAGCTACTATGCTCTGAAGTTAATTACAGTGCCTTCTTTAGCCTCCATATTCAGACATCTTGTAATTAGAATGATGAGAACATATATTTTTGCTCGTTAGGCCCCACAGATTGTTAAGAGCACTATATTTTAAGTAGACTTTATATTTTGGACACATGTTGAATGTTTAAAATTTAAAACAAACTTCTGCTGAATTTATTCATTAAATAGTTTACTTTAAAAATTAATCAACCTGACCTTTCTGTTTATTTTATTTTTATTTATTTATTTTTATTTTTTTTGAGTCGGAGTGTTATTGCGTCACCCTTGGTAGGGTGCTGTGGCATCATAGCTCACAGCAACCTCAAACTTTTGAGCTTGGCTTTACGTGATTCTCTTGCCTCAGCCTCCCAAGTAGCTGGGACTATAGTCACCTGCCACAACACCAGGCTATGTTTTCGTTCTTGCAGTTATCATTGTTGTTTAGCAGGCTCAGGCTGGGTCCGAACCCACCAGCCTCGGTGTATGTGGCTGGGACTGTAACCACTGTACTACCAGCACTGAGCCTCTGTTTAGTTTAAAAAGTATTCTTTTGTATACTTCTAATTTCTTCCCCTCGTCCTCACAGTGATACTGTTATCCCTCAAAAACTTTGGAGGCTAGTGATTTATTATAGCATAATGAAGTCAGTACTATAAAATTAAAACTGATTTTATTATTGATGTTCAATATCTAAACTACAATAAGCTCTACCTTTACCATAGGTTTTTTTGTTTTTGTTGTGCAGTCATTGTTAAGTATGGTGATATGTCCAAAGGGAAGTTGTGAGTTTTTGTGAAAGAAGTTAGGGTTGATTGCTTATCAAGTAGGTTTTTTCTTTTGTTTTAAAATCAGCTTAGGAAACATGAAGGGAGAGATTCTTGGAAAAATTTATTGGTGGGTTGATAGTGCTGTGAGGAACAGAGCGCAGCACACACGTGCTGTCACTTAACTTTGCCTCTATCAGTTATCAGCTAGTTCAGAAAAGGCCCTGTCTTGAAATGTCTAGGTAATATTAGTGCTCACCTTTACTGAGTGTTCTTATGCTCCAGATGCGTTTTAAAGAGCTTTTAAGGCATTAATTACCTCACTTATTCTGCCCTACAAGGCTATGAAATATGTATGTGTAAGATGAAGATAACTTGGTAAGAGAAGGTTAATTGGCACAAGTTTTCTGAAAGATGGTTTTGGAACTAGGTATGGAAAAGCTCAGTGCTGTGGCTCATGCCTGGAATGCCAGAACTTAGTGCAGGAGGGATCACTTGAGGCCATGGGTTTGAGACCAGCTTAGGCAACATAGCAAGAACAAGCTTTTACTAGAGAAAAATTTTAAGAAATTGCTCTTTTCATCTAGCAAATTGGAGTCAGTATTAATCTTATATAGAAACAAATAGAAAAGGGTTCAAAGATGAAGTTTAATGTTTGTTGTAGTATTGGTAATATATTAGGATAACTCAACTTACTGTAGGAGACTACTTAAACGATGGGTAACTAAACAATCAAATATTATTCATTCATGGAAAATAAAGATGCTGAAACGAGGGCTTAGGATAAAATTGTTAATTTCTCCCATTGTGTATTGAGAGAAAGAAAAGCAGATTTCAGAAGAGTACCAGATTATGATTCCATTTTACTCGGTTTTTAAAGTTTAAGTGTGTATTTTTACAGAAGAAAGTGTCTGGAAGTATATATACACCAAAATATTAATTATAGTTGCCTCTGAATATGAGATTTCAGTGATTTAAAACTTATTTCTTCTTGTCTGTTTTTCATTCAGTCATCATTTGTGGCACTATTACTGTGACCAGCTGTTGTGTTTTCTGAAGTGTTAATGTATCAGTTGAAATATGATAGTATATTTTAGGGAGGAAATTATAATTTTATAATTTTTTTATTAAATGATTAAAATAATGACTTTTGGTCATTAAAGTGATATGTTCAGTTACTTGGAAAATTAATTTATTTGTAACAATTTATTCATGAGAAGTACAGAATAAAACGAGGCCTTAGTGTAATGTGCTAAGCATTTAGCCAATATGATGCTGAGAGGAGGAATACTTTCATTTGTATGAAATATATGTCATTGGCTTGGCGCCAGCCACATACATCGAAGCTGACGGGTTCAAACCTGGCCCGTGCCAGCTAAGAAACAACGAGACCTGCAACCAAAAAATAGCCAGGCGTTGTGGCGGGTGCCTGTAGTTCCAGCTACTCGAGAGGCTGAGGCGAGAGACTTGCTTAAGCCCAAGAGTTTGAGATTACTGTGAGCTGTGACACCATGGCACTCTACTGAGGGTGATGGAGTGAAACTCTGTCTCAAAAAAAAACCCATCAGAAATACATGCCATCTCTAAGGTATCTTTTCCTCGCGTGAGAGGAGAGACGTTGATTGTGTGCACTACATTGCTTTGATTTGAATCAGAAATAAAAGTTCACCAGGATTTATTTTGAAAACAATAGCTTTTTAACATTGAGTAACCATAGATGCATAATTGTAATTTTTTTCAAAATTTTGTTACAGACAACTACAAGAACAGCAACGACAAAAGGAGCTGGAACGGGAAAGACTGGAGAGAGAGAGAATGGAAAGGGAAAGGTTGGAGAGAGAGAGGGTAGAAAGGGAGAGGCTGGAGCAAGAGCATCTGGAGAGAGAGAGACAGGAGCGAGAACGCGATCGGCAGGAACGCCTGGAGAGGGAGAGGCAAGACAGACAAGAGCGCGAGAGGCTGGAGCGAGTGGAACGGGAGAGGCAAGAGAGGGAGCGGCAGGAGCAGTTAGAAAGGGAACAGCTGGAATGGGAAAGAGAACGCAGAGTGTCCAGTGCTGGTAAGAAATTTGCAGACTTCTGTTGTTGATCTGAGCTTGGATGGTGTTTTCTGCAGTCATGTATTAAAACAGCTTCACATCTGAGATGCTTTGGGATTAAGCAATACAATTTGAAATTTTGAAAAATAAATAGCAATTGCTACTTTAACATTTTATTTTTCATTTCTCTCTGTATTGCTTTTATTGCTTGGAGATTTAAAGAAAACTGTTGGAAAATTTTATTCTGGCTTCTAATTCTTCTAACTCCCTATAAATTAGCTATAGAATGTAAGTATGTTTTTATGGGAAATTTTTTATATTGGTTGCCTTGGAATATATTTCACCTATGAGACCACTTAAATTGACTCAGATTTCTTCAGTATTATAGTACCATTCAGCAAGAAATTTGCTGAAAGTTTTTGAAGGAGGAATTAAGAAAGTAAGGAAAATTCTCTCTGAAACTTTATAAATCTATTTTCTTGTGTTGTTAAACATTAGTGAAAATTACTAATCTGGTGGAATTTATTAAAGACATAAGAATTAGGTGGCTGAAAGTTTGAATTGGGATTTTTTTTTTTTTTTTTTGAGACAGAGCCTCAAGCTGTCCCCCTGGGTAGAGTGCCATGGCATCACAGCTCACAGCAACCTCCAACTCCTGGGCTCAAGCGAGTCTCCTGCCTCCGCCTCCCAAGTAGCTGGGACCACAGGCACCCGCCACAACACCTGGCTATTCTTTGGTTGCAGCCATCATTGTTGTTTGGTGGGCCCAGGCTGGATTCGAACCCGCCACCTTAGGTTTATGTGGCTGGTGTCTTAGCCACTTGAGCCACAGGCACCGAGCCTGAGTTGGGATATTTTAACATTCATTATAGGATTTATTTTTATTCCTTATGGCATTACAAGTTTCAATGTAGGTTGATTAAATATTGATTCGTTGGTTTTTATTGTTTAATTAATTTGTTTTCAACTACCTAATTATTTTCTAGAGTTATGGCGAAGAAAACAAAACTTTTCCACAAATAATCATTGAATGAATAGGAAATTCTTCGCTCTTTGTAGTAAATAAATGTTTTTACCAGTTTTGCTATTTGTTGCTTAAAAAAAAAAAAACAACTAGGCTGAGCGTATTGGCTTACACCTGTAATCCTAGCATTCTGAGAGGCCAAGGCGAGTGGATTGCCTAAGCTCACAAGTTCGAGACTAGTCTGAGCCAAAACGAGATCTCGTCTCTAAAAATAACTGGCTGTTGTGGTAGGCGCCTGTAGTCCCAGCTACTCCAGAGGCTGAGGCCAGAGAATCCCTTGAGCCCAAGAATTTGAGGTTGCTGTAAACTATGAGGCCATGGCGCTCTGTCGAGGGCGACAAAATGAAACTCTGTTTCAAAAAAAAAAAAACAACTAAATTTATTCTTCTGTTTATGCTCCTATTCATGTAATTTTAATGTCCTTTTAGTGGACTAAATAACAAAAATTAAGATTACTACTAGCCTTTTCTTATAAAGGATACATTAATCCACTTAATTTATTAATTCACTAGTTAGATAAAAAGAAAACTTATTTCATCCTCTTTTCAGATCTCAAAATGTATTTACAAGTTAAAATATTCTTGGTTGAAAGTAGTTATTTACACATGTGCCTAATTCTCTGGTACTAACTGTAGTCTACATTGATACATTTTATCTGAATGCTGGTTTTGTGACTTCACTAGCTCCCTTTTTCTCTCTCCTTTTTTATCCTGTCTTTGCTGCTGCTTTCCACCTTCTGTCCAGCTCCATCTTCAGACAGCTCCCTGTATAGCGCTCCACTTGCTGAGTATTCCAGTTGCCAGCCTCCTCCAGCACCTCCTCCATCATATGCTAAAGTCATCTCAGCTCCAGTGTCCGATGCCACTCCTGATTATGCGGTGGTGACTGCTTTGCCACCTACTTCCACACCCCCTACACCACCACTGCGACACTCAGCGACACGTTTTGCAACATCTTTAGGTTCAGCCTTCCACCCCGTTCTTCCCCATTATGCTACAGCTCCTCGTCCTCTGAACAAAAACTCTCGACCTTCTTCTCCTGTGAACACACCCTCTTCTCAGCCTCCAGCTACGAAGCCCTGTGCCTGGTCTACTTCCAGTTTTTCGCCCCTCCCTCCATCTCCTCCAATAATGATTAGCAGCCCCCCAGGCAAAGCTACTGGTCCAAGGCCTGTCCTCCCTGTTTGTGTTTCTTCTCCTGTGCCCCAAATGCCTCCATCACCGACAGCACCCAATGGGCTGCTTGACTCTGTAACATATCCAGTATCTCCACCGCCTACCTCAGGGCCAGCAGCTCCTCCGCCGCCGCCTCCACTGCCTTCCCTCGCATCACTCTCACACTGTGGATCTCAAGCTTCTCCTCCTCCAAGCACCCCTGTTGCCTCAACTCCCTCATCCAAGCCTAGTGTTCTCCCTTCTCCCTCTGCAGCTGCCCCTGCCTCTGTTGAGACTCCTCTAAACTCTGTGCTGGGAGACTCTTCTGCTTCTGAGCCAGGCTTGCAGGCAGCCTCTCAGCCGGCCGAGACTCCAGCCCAGCAGGGTAAGGCTTTCATTATTGCTACTCACAACTAATCATTTGAAAATAGATAGCAGAAACTGTAATTGCCTAGAAGAATGGGTAGACTGGTTTTGATAGTTGAACATCTATATGTAGTATTGCTATGTATTTAAAATGTTTTACAATTTAAAGTAGACACTTGGTGCCTGTAGCACAGTGGTTACAGCACCAGCCACATACACCAAAGTTGGCGGGTTTAAACAGGCCCCAGGCCTGCTAAACAACAATGACAACAGCAACAAAAGATAGCCGGGTGTTGTGGCAGGCGCCTATAGTCCCCACTACTTGGGAGGCTGAGGCAAGAGAATCATTTAAGCCCAGCAGTTTGAGGTTGCTGTGAGCTGTGATACCATAGCACTCTACTGGAGGTGATATAGTAAGACTCTGTCTCAAAAAAAAAAAAATTTAAAGTAGAAAAATTAAGTTAAATTTTACTGTTAGATTAATTGCATTTGAAGGGTCAAAACAAAGAATTTCCATGTCGAACTAGGTTTTGTTATCTTTTGCAGTATCATTGTTAAATGTGTTTCCTGGCTCGGCACCTGTGGCTCAAGTGGCTAAGGCGCCAGCCACATATACCTAAGGTGGCAAGTTTGAATCCAGTCCGGGCCCGCCAAACAACAATGTAGGCTGCAACCAAAAACAAATAGCCAGTTGTTGTGGTGGGTGCCTATGGTCCCAGCTTCTTGGGAGGCGGAGGCAGGAGAACTGCTTGAGCCCAGGAGTTGGAGGTTGCTGTGAGCTGTGATGCCACAACACTCTACCCAGGGTAGATTTTATACTCCTTTGTGATTTGAACATTTCCTACCTCCCATCTTATAGGATAAAACTCCTCTGTGAACCTCCAAATGTTATGCTATTTAATTATTTCTGAGAGTATTTTGAGGTTTCACTTTGTACTAGTAAATTCCTTTACTTTAGTGCAATTCTCAACCCTGACTACACATTGAATTGTGAAATATTTTTAAAATACTGAAGAGTGGGACTTGCCCCTCTTTTCTATTTCTAACCCGGCCACTTTGTCTCTAAATAATTAATATAGAAGTTAACTGTATCACTTAATGTTTACGTGGACTGTTTTGGGTTTGTTATTTCCAATGGTACTGCCATCATATGCACTAGTTTGGTTTTTTTTTTTTTTTCAGGGATATACTTACATCATTTCCAAATTTTATAAGCACTTATTTTATTTACCAAATCCCCACTGAAAAAAATTAGGTGATCTGTTGCGTAGTTCTATTTCTTTTTTCTTT